AAGAAGGCCTTAACAGCTGTGAGAAGTGTTTCACATTGCTGTTCCTTGCTTAAAAAATATATATTTTTTTGGTGATGATGTGGGTTTAAACTCTCCACTCCTTCCATCTCTGTCAGTGATGTGCCATGCTGGTGGAAAAGAAATGCCCAGGGCAAATCAGGATAGTGACCCTGTGGCTTTGCAGCGGAGTGGGTTGATCAGGAAGAGATGCCAGAGTTTAAAATCTTTTTCTGCCCCTAGAGGCATGACATGGCTATCCACCCAGACGTGGCAGGGTGGGGTTCTGCATGCTTGTGCACAGCTGGGGTCTGTGGCCCTGCAGAGGGTTGATATGTTTGCAGCATTGGTGTGGTGACACCCATCCACCCTTGCAGCAAGGGCTATTCAGGGTGACAGCGCATTGTTGTTTTTCATGAGAGGAAACTCCTGACCTGGTTTCTGTGAGGAGATGGTGTGAAGTGTCACATTTGCTGCAGAGAGTGGCAGGGAGCAGGGATAAAAGCATGGAGCAAGCTGTGTTTGAGAACAAGCCGATCCATTGGTGGCCATCTGAAACTGGAGAACTGCCGGATCTGCTCCCTGGATGATGCTTTCCACCTCTTCTCACTCTCCCCAAACCCAATGTGCAAACTGTCATTTCTCTGAGCTAGGAAAACACTCCCCCTGAACCCCTCTGAGGCTGTGCATTCCCATCATTTTGGTCCCCTCCCTGCTGGGTGCCATGAAATGCCTGCAGGTGCATAATGACCAGAGGCATGCTGGTGGCCAGACCTCCCCATACCCTGCCTGTGCACAGCCTTCAGCAGTGCTCCCTGCCCTGGTTGCCCACTGCTTGCTTGCTGCACAGCAACTGCTGCACATGCTGGCATCACTTGCTGCTTTCCCAAAGAATTTTGCAGCTTATTTAGAAGGCCTTGAAGTTTTGGTGGTCCTGGTTTCCAGACCAGGGAGGAGAGGACAGGCAGATCAGCTGTTGTGGCAGTGAGAGAGCAGGGGACAGCATCATGGTGAAAGTAGCATATCTTCTGGAAAAGTCTCCAAACATGGGCTCTGTGCTTCTCTGCTGGGGCTGAGGGCAGCTGACAGAGGGCAGAACAGGATGTGAATGCTCAGCAAGACATGGGAGGAAGAGAGCTGCTTGAGAACATCTGTAAAAGGCTTTGCAAAGGTGGTGGTTTTTACAGGAGACAGCCAGCAAAATGGGGCAGGAGGATGTGGTGCTGGAGCAACGGTGCTGCAAGGCAGGGAGGGTTGGGGGGAATTGAAGTAGGGCATTTGAATGAGAAGCTCAGGAACAGAGTGGGCTTTCGAAGCAATCTCTGCTTGCTCTGGCTGAGGAGAAAGGCAGGAGGTATTCCTGAGCTGAGGTGCCCAAGCCAAGTCTCGCTGCACTGTTGGAGCAGAAATGTCACCTCCAAGCCCTGCAGTGACAGCTTGAGCATGTGTCATCAACCACAATGGCTAATGCAGCCACAAGGTGTAAATGTCACTAATGAATAAATTGCCTTGTGCCTTGGAGAGGCTAATCCATCATGGCCAGAGACAGGGATCTGACAAGACTGGCTGTTTCAGACATACCCTGTAGGGAGGAGGAATGCTTAGTTTCTGAGCCATCCCCTCCACCTAGGGAAGCTGATGCAGGGCTTGGCTCTGTGCCACTTCCCTTCTTCCCAGCCACATGAGCTCAGGCTTCATCCCTCTTCACTGCAACTGAAGAAGCATGAAAGGATCTAGATTAGCTAAAAGTGCCCTGTTAGCAGGGTGGTACATGGGGCTAGCAGGTGACTGAGGTTGGAGGGAAGCTGCTGGACACAGGGCACAGGTGCTGTAGAGGTGATGGAATACACTGGTGGGTCCCCAGTGATTAGGAGAGTTTGTGTTAGTTATCTGTGTTTTGAGGCAGGAGTGCTTGGCACTATGTTTGAGAAGCGTGCTGTTTCCTCCTCACCCCACTGTGCTGTCCCACAGGCAAGGCACAGTACCCCCATTTTCAGGACCCCCTGTGTGTGAATCCCAGCCACCAGTGCCCTGGCTGACTGTGCAGAGGCCAGCAGGTACCAAACAGGCAGGGACAGCTCAGCCTAGACAAATACAGCTCCATGGGAGCAAAGGGAAGCTGAACATAGCAACCATTTCTGTGCACAGCCTCTGCTCTTCCTTGTGGCAGCCTGCTCCTCCTCCCCCAGTCGGTGCTCAAAATCAACCTGCCATCCTGTTTGTGACATATGCCAGTGTGACACCTTGCAAATCAATGCCTGGGTCTCTGTGAGCAGAAACTGCCAGGCTTGGGAAGCTGGCCACTGTCTCCTGCTGCCGTGTGCGCTCTGCTCAGAGCAGTGGAAGCTGGGCTTGCCATCTGCTGTGGGAAAGAGCCAGCTGGGTGCCCCTGCTCCGGCCTGATGGGACAGCCTGAGGGTGAGCCCTTGTGTCATTCCCCCTTCTTTACTGTCTGCCCACTCCTGCCTCTCAGCATCTCTCTGGCACAGACCCATGGGTGAGGGGATGTTCCCAGCTTGACTCTGCTGAGTGCTGCTGATGCTGCATTGGTAGGTGGTGGCAGTGCCCAAGCTTGTTCCCTCCTCCAGATGGAGGCCCGCAAGTGAGCCCCCCCTCCTCAGAACCTGCCAGTACTCCTTGGAGATAGATTTCATGGGAGAGTTAAGGTATTTGTTCTGGCCCTGCACTCAGCACAGAGTGACCAGCTAGTTACCCGCCCTGTGGTAGCTGGACCTGGAGCTGACAAGTGACCCACCAACAGCAGGAATGTTCACACTCCAACAATCTGCTGTTGCTGTCTGGCCAGTGTGTGTGGCATTTGAAATGGTTTCAGCCTTTGCAGACTGGCACATAGTTAGTTGACTGTTGGTCTCAGGTGTGGGCAAGTGCTGCAGGCTGCTTGGTTTGGACTTTGCTTTTTGGCCAAAAAAGCAAAGATGGGAGAGAGGGCAAAGAGTTCTCCAGGCAAGCGCTACCTGTCCGGGCATTCCTGCATGTGGCAGCCCAGGCGTGGGTTTGAAGGGTGATTAAGTGCTGTTAACAGTCTGAAGCTGTTAGCAGCAAAAAAAGCACTGAATATCCTGGAAAGCAAGTGAGAAGTTGTTCCGGCGATGGCATATTTTCCCAAGCCCTTTTCTTTCCATCCCTTGTCCTCACTGGCTCTGGTGACTAATTCCTCCTCATGTATCCGCTAGCATGTCTGCAGGATCTCATCACTGCCCACCAAGCATGAGCTTCCACTGTGCAACTGGCTGACCAGCTGCAGCCCTGTCCTTGGAGCTACAGGCAGGCTTGCCTAGGACCGGGCCACCCCCATTAAACCCCCACCCTTGCTGCTGGAGCTGTTGCTTCATCAGCCTGATGCTGATCTGGGTCTTTTCTGCTGTTTCTGAACATGAGTTCTCATCTCATTGAGGTGTGTCATCCAGTGAAAATATTTTGTAAATGCAAATAAAGATAATTAAGTATATTCAATACCTCGGTCTCGAGGATGGGAAACAAGGAGTGGGAGTCGCCCGGGTAGGGAGGTTTCACAGCTGCTACTGCTGGTTAGGAATTCTTCTGAATGTAGACCCTGGAGCATCCATCAATAGTTGGGAAGGGAGTTACACAAACCTGTGAGGGCTTGGGGCTGAGCCCTGTCAGCACCCCTGCTGTCGGGGCAGCCTCGCACTCCATCCTTTCTGATCTATATGGGCATGACACGGTGCAGGTAAAGGTCCTGTTGGCCAGGAGCCAGTGGCATGGTCAGTGTCTGTATCCATCAGACAGGGCAAGGCAGAAGCAGGTACGTGGTGAATAAATTATTTTGTGAACACTGGAAAACGGTTTTTACTTTCCAACTCTGTCAATATGATCTAGCTCTGTCTGTCTCTCTATATATGTACAAACAGTATATCACAATGTTGCCTTTTTTGTTGGAAATATCAAAGTACAAAGATTGTAAACCAAATCGGTGTAATAAAAGTTTCAGATGATTCACTGAGGTGGTTGCCAGCAGTGGGTCTGTGAGCACTGGTGTTGAGCAGGGCTGGGAGGCATGGAAAGCTCCTGCGTTGTTCAGAGGGTGGGAGGGGATGGAAGACAACCCACTTACTTAATTCCCTGATATCTCCTGAGCAGGGTGGTCAATTGACCAACTCACTCAAGTATGTGCCTTGTCCCATCCTCAGATGACTACAGACTAGAGCAAAAGGAAGCTGCTCCATTTTGCTCCAAGCCCAAGGAAGCTGCACTGTTTTCAAACTTGTGAGCTATGTGGGCCAGCAGTCCTGAAGGGACTCCTCTAGCTTGAAGTTATGCAAAATAGATTGTTTTAGACATATTTTTTGCATAGAAGAGCACTACTAGGTAAGTTAAGCATCTGGTTGTAAAGAGTTCACCTGTTGCAAAGTAGGCTAGCACTGATTTAAAGCAGAGCAACCCAAAGCAGGAAACCACGGTGGTGAGCCCTCTTGAGTTATTGAATTTATTTCTATTTACTTTTCACCACCCGTATCAGACTCCAGACAGATTTACTATAAATTCGAATAGATTATTGAGCAGAGCAATAGCCAGAAAAAGGTGCCGAGGAACTAGAAACAACATTCCCTCAATCCTCTAGGCCTCTCACATCCTCCTCAGCAAAAACTTAAAGTTAAGTCTGGACTAGACCATTTAGGTGGCAGAGACTTCATCTTAGCTGCTTTACAAGTGAAACAATATTCAGTTGCCTAAACTAAGCTTGCTGCTGGAGCATATAAAAGCATCACAGGAGGTAAGATTTCAGGTGCAGTGAGAGAGAGGACTTAAAAGGCAGATTGCTCTGTGGTGCCACTACAGTGCCTTGAGATCAAATGTCTGTCTCCAATGAAGTCACAGGTTGGATGATAGGGGTCTGGGAAAGGCTGTAGTGGCAGCCACAAGTGAAGTGTTTTTCAGAAAAGCAAATAAAACCAAGACCCTGAAGTGAAGTGTTTCCAAGACTGCACACCCAAAGCTCATTGCTCCCCGGAGCACTTTATTCAGAGGGGTTCAGTGGTGGGGTGCTGCAGAGATCCCAGCCTCACCACTTCCTGATTGGCCCACACGATTTCGTGAATGAGGAAATCGGTCTCCTGGTCCACCTCTGCATGGCGGAGATCAAGCTTGGTCAAAGTCTTGTTGTTTGCCAGACCTTTAAGCAGCTGCTTCCCACCATTCTGCAAAAGGATGAGAGGGGATGGTTAAAGGAGAACATGCAAAAGAGAAGTGTATTGCTCCTTTCCCCTCCTCCCCAGGGCAATTTCTGCTGCTGCCAGTGGGAGGTCCATGAGATGGTGCCAAAAGGGATAAAGGCCTCCACCCAGGTCTGAAATGTTGCTCCCAGAAGTGCAGAGGAAGAGTGTAACCTTATACAGCTCTTTGTGACAAGACATATGCTAATGACTCCCTCTGGGTACCCAAGAGTTCTCAAATTCATGCTGGTTAATGACACACCTGGCAATTGTAACCTGAGAGAAGTCTGTTCCTCCCTGTCCCCCAATCCCAGTTTACTGCTGGTTGGGAACAAATGGTTTAGAGTGCTGTTCTTCATCTTGGCAGTTGTGAGAGCCCCAGAACTGGCAGTTTTCTGTCTGGGTGTAATTTCCCAGGCTGGTTTAGCTATCCTGAGAGAAATATCTCATGTAACTGAAGACCAGCCTTCATAAGACTGAAAATGTGATGTAGCCTTAGGAAGGCAACCCACTCTGAAGCATTTCTCCCTCATAAAGCACTGTATTTTGGGATGTGACAATTTGAACTTTTTTCCACTGTTGCTATTCCCTCCCAAGTATCAAATACACCTCCTGTCCCTTCTCCTCCATCCAGATGGACCCCTGATCCCAACACCCTGCCTTTTTGCCAAAAAGGGCAGAGCAAAAAGGACTGAGAAGAGATCTCTTTTTAATGGGTTACAGAGGTCAGAGTTGAATGTATCTCTGGCAAAACCCCCAATTTTCCCAAAGATAATACTACCAGCCACCTTTTGGGCTGCCATGGAACTTCACAAATGGGTAACAAGAAAGCTCATCAGAAGGAAGACACAAGCACAGAGATTATTATTTACTAAACAGAAATCCTTCTATCCTTTCCAACCTTTGCCCCCTTGTATCATTAAACTCAGATGGTTTTCCGCATCCAGGACCATAAAACTCAGAACTCACAAAAGGTTTTCTGCCATCAAATCCTTTTAAAACCCTTGTCAAACACATTGATGCCAATATTCCTGCCAGCAGGGACAGCTGGTCTTGCTGTCTCTTTATTTGACAGTGAGAATAATCGAGGCAGCACAGAAAGTTTAAAAGCCAGCATGATTGCTTTTGGCTGTCTAGTTTCAGATTTCTAAAGCTCTTTTTAATCAGTAAAAGAGAAGCAGTCTGGTTTGTGGGCATGTTGCATACTGCAGCTCTTAGGGATGTAGTAAGATCTGTGGATGCTCTTCTGTCTAGAAAATGTAAGCCTGTGTTTTAGGAGGCACTTACAAGCACACAGACATGACACTCCTGACCCACCGCACTGCTCCCGGGCCGCAGGGTGAGTTAAAGAAGCTCAACAACCAAGCCAATTTTCTAACAGTCTCCACTGAGCCTGTGATGTACAGGAGCAATTCTGGGAAGGGTGACACTATCTGTGTGCTGCTGAGTGACAGATGGCACAGCAGATCCAAAGCATGAAGGATATGCATGAGACCCTCATCTCGTGCTGCCTATCATTAATACGCGCATGTGCGAAGCATCTGTGATTTTTCCCAGACATGATTCCTGGTTTTCAGTTTCCTGGGGGGAAAATCCCTCTCTGCCCAAAAGCCCAAAGCCTCAAAGACTGATTCAGCCCTATGAACAGAGCAACAGAGCTAGATGTAACAAGTGAGGTAAATGCATGCTCATGCAGAGAAAGTGTCCTTTTCTTTCCTGACATCTGCTACAGTCTCTTCCTTGCTCACAACTGATTGTTATCATAGCAAGAATGCAAAATGAGGGATGTATTTGCCTCTGGGGCTTTGAGATAGGCTCAGGATCTGCTTTGCAAGCCCACCACACAGGGTCACAGACTGCAGGCAGAAGAGGCTACTCTTACCATCCCCAGGTGGTTGCATGAGAAGCTGATGCTCGTCAGACTGGTGTTCTGAGCCAGGACCTGGGAGAACACTGCTGCCGTTGGCTCTGACAGGTTATTGCTTCCCAGGTGGAGGGACTTCAGGCTGGCGTTGGTCAGCAGGGCACGGCCAATTGCCTCTCCACCTTTGTCCTCCACAAAGTTGAGGCGTAGATTCAGGGAGGTCAGAGTGGAGCTCTCAGCCAGGCCTTGAGCAAGAGCCTGAGCCCCCAGGTGACAGATCTGGTTGTTACACAGATTAAGTGTTTCTAATCTGCTGTGGCTGATCAGCTTGCCAAGAGCTTGTGCCCCATGGTCCCCGATGAGATTGTGGGACAAGTCCAGCTCCAACAAGGAAGGGTGATGCTGCAAGTTACGGGCCAGGAGCTTGATCTTGTCATCATCCACTTTGCTTTGTGTCAGCTTGAAAACCTGTGGGCATAAAAACCAGGGTCACTACAGCAGCCAATGCTTTGGACTGAGATTTGTACAAGATCATTACGGAGTTAAACCTATGGTCCACCAGACAGGATTCATCTCCCTTCACTTCAGACACCTTTAGCTAGCAGGCTCAAGTATGTGCTTTCCTAGTGGGCTGATACTTACAGCAAGCAGGTCATGCCGCTGATGTCCCATGCCTATTCTAGAGAAAAAGAGTTTGCCTCCTGGAAATGCCTGTTCCTCTCCTCTGACTGCACAAGATCTCTAACTGGGGGCTAAATTAAAGCAAGATAAAGCTATCCAAATGTCTGCAGAACCCAGCCCAGATCACAGTTGAACCTGTCTGAATGACCATGTGCACCAGTGATAACTACAGTACAATGTCCTGTGTGCCTGGGATACTTAATAGCCACAAGAAAGGTAATTTCTCTTCCAGAAGCTGTATTTCCCAAAGCATGCCAATCTGTGTGGAATTCATCCAACTCACTCTGGCTCCACTCGGGATAGCAATGCCCACTGATGTCTTAGAGGGGCTGAGTATTTGCACTGCCATTGCCACAGAGCTAAAGATACGGTTAGATCTTAGGAGGAAAATCCCTCATTGCTCTAAAGCAAGTGTGAGTGTTTCCCCACTCTGTTCTCTGGGGTCTTTGCTCCTCTGGGAGAGACTGACATGCATTTACTGAACAAAACTACCAAAAACTCCTTATGAAAAATTCCCTCTGGACTTTTCTTCTCCTCCCTCCCAGAACTATATGAGGAGTTAAAACTGTGGAATGCTGCTGATTCTTATGCTACAGGCAACAAGTTTTGTGGGAGCAAATATTTTTCTCATTGATCCCCTGACAACCCATTCTAACAAAGACACAGCAGAACAAGATACTCAGCACTAAGCCAGCAGGCTAACATCTCTGCACTCTGTCAGAGTCTGTAACTTGCAAAAGGAAGGGTGGTACCAGCAAGCAAAACTGGTCCCTGTATTTCTAGCCATGTGCAATTTGGATCTAGCTGAGGCAGTAAGGTTCAGTTTGTGGTATATTACTTTCAAGTTACGGCACATCTTCACAGCAGCAGCCAAGTTGGAGCAGTCCAGCTCAGTGAAGTTAAAGAGGCTCCACTCAAAGTTCATGCCACAGCTCTTTACACCATAAATGAGATGAAGCTCTTCAAGGTGCGGGAGGGCAGTAATGACATCTTTCAGGTTGTAATGATGCATGTAGACCTCACCAATTTCAGCATCATCCTCTGTGTCAGAGAGGTCATTGCTCTCCTCCTTTTGATGCACCCACAAAGGTGGCAGGAACTGATTGATCTCCAGTTTCCGCACGTAGCTTTTGCAGAGCGGGATGAGCTCTAGCACCTGCTTGGGGTCTGTGATGTTAGGGATGGAGAACTTCAGAATGTTCTCCAGGTGACGTTCAAAGAACATCTGTTTCCAGCTGTCCCCATAGTTGGAGACGTCACACGCTTGCCAGCGCTCCATACAGCACCTCTTCCAGTACTCCTCATGGCTTACAATGTTGGCAGTCACAGTGAGTGGAAGGCTGGTGGAGAGCCTGTCCACCACCTTCTTTTGGTGCTCAGGCAGAAGATAGTTCAAAATAGGGTTCTCTGAAAGAGATAAAAAGAATGAGAAGTTGGTCTGGGCATAGGCACAATTGCTGGCACTATGGTTCTGCCCGGGTCCCCAGCTGTATGCCCATTCCCTCCCCTTTGCTGATATTGGCTCTCTCCTTGGTTGCCAGAAGCTGGAGCACAGAAATAAGTTGGCAGAACACATTTGTACATTTCCATATATGATTTCTAACTTTTACAATGAAACATTGGTGTAATCGGGTTTGCTCTCATAATATTTGGGAACTGTGCCAGAAACTGAGCTCCCCATTTAAACTTAGTCTGAATGCAGCTTATATTCAGGGCAGGAATTCTGCTCCTGAGAGAACTAATTCAGCCTTAAAGTGATGGTAGAGTTTGGCCTGCCATTTGCTGAACTTTCTCCCTTTTGGTTTCTAAGCATATTGAAGAACAGTATTTGAGAACAGTGTGCTTTTCATGCAGGTCCTTGTGCCTATTTATCTTAATTCAAGCATCAGTCTTACCTCAAATTAATTGCTGTTCCTTTTTGCTGAGGCACACTACTAGCTTTTAGGTCCATCTTGTTTAAATAAAAATTCTGTTTTCCAGGTACTTTTTCCCCTGAGTCTCTTTCCCAGTGCTTGCCCTAAGTCTCAGCTCTCTTCTCTGGTGGAAGTTCTCTGTGCCCAGAAATACCAGAGAAAAGCCACATGTACTCACACCATGAATATTTGGTTATGTGTACACAGTTGTGTTGAGTAACATAAATCATCAGTGAAGAAACTTATCTGTGCATAGGAAATGAGATTATGAAACACAAAGTGGGATTAACTTTATAGTTCTCCTATTTCTGGGGCATTCCCTTCCTAAGGGCACTGATAGTTTTACCACAGCCTCTTCCTGGAGTCTATTTTCCAGTGTCCCACAGCTGAGACTGTGGTGACCTCTACAAAGCTCCATGACACAAGCAGAGGTGGGACACAGATGGGCAGGGCTGGGCTAGCTTCACTCAGGTTCACTCAGGCCACACTGTGGGCAAGGTGCAGCCTCACAGCTCAGGTAACAGCATGAGGGTTCCCATGAAAACAAGCAAACTGCTTTTATGTGTGCACAGTGCAAGTCCAATGCATTTGGCATCAAACTGATCAGGCTGCTGGGACTGCAAGGTTGTCCCAGCTCATAGCCTCAAGTACCTTCAGCTCCTGGCATAAGGCAGCACTGAGCTTCTCTGTACTGTCTTACAGTCCCAGTGTGGACATAGCCTTAAAACTATCTTTGGTCTTTGCTGGCACTTCACTGAGTCAGCCAAAAAGACAGGCTCTTCTTTTCCCCCTCCCAGTCAGTTTTCAGATGAGACATGCTTCTTCTGTTTTGCTGTGTTTCATCAGTCCACCTGCTTCAAAAGCACATTCCGTGCCTGGGGCTATAACTTGTCACATCACCACCAAAAGCCATGGAGGAGGGCTGAGCCAATGAGTACAATACAGAGATGGTAGCTCGTCTGGGCAGGGAGCAATTCTGCATCTCTTTGTACAGCGTCCAATACAACAAGGCTCCATCCTCGAGCGCTACCCTAACGTCTGTATGAATCAAGAGCAGGAAACAGCAACTGCACAGCCCAGTCATGGCTGAGGTGAGTCCAGAAGAGCATGGATGGAAGATGTGGTAGAACAAGGTCACTACAGAGTCACATCCTGGAGTGCAGCCCAGAGGACTACAGCCATTCCTGCAGTGTACAAATGTGGGTCTCAGATACGGGCAAAGAGAGAAACTGAGAGTTTCTAGGCAGGCAGAAGCCTGGGAAAGAACTGGAGAAGAATGTAAATAATTCTTTATCTCTCTTGTTGTTCACATTGCTTATAGTTAAGTTCTATCACTGTGTGTCAAGCACTTCGCACCAATGGTGTCAATTGTTTTCACTTCAGGGCCAATGGAGTTGGTCCTCACAAAGCTCTGTATAAAAGAGCAGGGCATTTTGAATAAACCAGAGTTTTACTCTCAGCAGCCTTCTGATCAGAGTCTTCTCATTCCCGTCCTGCCTCTACAGCGACATACAAATACATACTTTTCAACTAAACAGTTTGTTTAACTGGCTTCCCAAGGGGATATTTCTCCCCATCTATTCCTTTGACAGGGCTGGGTGCCACACTGCCTTTCAGATGCATCTGCATGCCTTCTTGACCCTCTGCTCCCTGGGACTGACCCTCTCTCCATGTGTCCTAGAGTAAATGTGCTCCCACTTACTTTCAAAATTGTGTGCAATATGCTGGAGGCAGAGCTCAGTGAGGTGGGGCACAGTGACCAGGGACCAACTGAGATCCTCAGTGATGCAGCGGCGTGTGTAGAATGAGCCATCAGTGATGTTGGCCTGAGGTGGACATGGTGAGGGAATGGCTCTGCTCCCATCACCAGCTTCTGGCTGCTGCATCCTTGCTCAGGGCCTACTTCTCCTTCAGGAGAAGCAAGGGGAAACTTCCTTGACAGTCACTACTACGTGGTTACCTGCAAAATAAAAAGGCAGCTTTAGAAAGAAGCTAGCAATATTAATGGTCAGCTCACACTGCTCTCCTGTAACACACTTGCCCTTTGCCTGCCTCCTCTGCTTTGGACTGGAAGCACTGCAGCAAACAACTATTACTTAGCCTCATCTTTATACCCCTGCAAAGAGGTCTCTAGACACCACATGCAATAAGGAGATACTAATGTGGTGTTAATTCGGAGTGCTGTTCAAGAGGATGGACAGGAATTGATAGTTTACTGTCTTTTCCAATAAAAGTAATAGGGGAAACTGGCAGGGGCTAGGCCTAAAACAAAGGGTTCTTCACACAGGCTACAGCTGAACTGGGAAATTCCTTGCCACAGGATGCTGTGGATGTTAGGAGTCTGCAGACTCTAAGAAAAGTCCATGGAAGAGAAACTCTTTGAGAATGATGAACTACACGGAAGTCGTGTGGCTCAGTGTGAGCAGCTGAACACAGCTGGAGGTGGGGAGAGTGCTGGAGGATAGAACACACACTTGCATTGTTTTTCTACTTCTCTCCAGGTGTCTGCTTCTAGCCACTGTCAGAGATGGGTTTTTGGGCCAGACTGGTTTGAGCTGGTATGCCTGTTCTTATGACTCTCTAAAGACAGATGCTTTACAGATGAATACATTATAAGTGTGTTCTTTTCCTGCTTTTCTACATTATTCTCTGTCTGAACTCCTTCCAAACATCCATTAACTGATGAGATGGGTCAGATCTGATCAGACCACACTGAGCCTAAGCAGATATAAGCTAAAAGAACCAGCTTGAAAAAGAAGGAAGGATGCCTGGCCCTATTAACTTTCAGAGCTTTCCCAGACCGAAGTTTTCCATTTGCTGTTTCCTATTCCATCCTCAAGGCCAGCACTCTCAGAATCCCACATGTATGGTTATTGCCTGGAAATCCTAATAGTTCTCAAACCAGCCACTCTGAAAGAGGCAGAAAAGACACCAGGAACGTGTCTTTTCCACCTTGAGTTCTGGGTTGCACAAGAGCACCTAGGTCTGGTGAGCATCTCCCAGGGCATACAGACCTATGTTGATCCTTACTGGGGCTACTTGGACTTAATAGGGCTGCAGCACAGGTCTGGGAGGTTACAGGCTGCAGGACACCTAAAAGAAGCATGAGGCAGAGGTGGATGGCAATGTCAGAGGTGAGAACACCTTCCTACATGACCAAGAGGATATCTCAGGGCTGTGGTGGCCTTGCACCACCATACAGCCAAAGGATCCTGTGGAAGGATAATTGCCATCTAGTCTCTTTGGGCACCTGAAGGGTGGTTTGATCCCAACCAGCTCCTCCTTTGTGAGGGGAGTGACCCAGACAGTGGCCCCTAGATGAACCATTTTAGTCCTTATTTCCTGGCACAAGGTTGTGCCTTTCACCTCTGCCTTCCCAGCTCATGGTGCTTCTGCCATCTGCCAGCACTTCCTTCTCCCTGAAAGCTTTGGAGCTGACTTTGCTAGTGTTACTCCCTCTGCTCCTTCCCCTTCCAAAAGGCATATGAGGAAGGGCTGCAAAAGAAGGAAGAGAGGAGACCTGTGAAATGCTGAAGTAGAGAAGAGAGAAGCAAATGATTAATGCTGCAAATATGTCAGCAAAAGCTTTTTCAAATGCACTTGAGGCAAGCCTGAGAGGGATAGTCAGGAAAGGGTGGGGATGGCAGTGGCAGGGCATTCTCTGGCCCAAAGCAGGAGGATGAAGGTTGCCAAGGGCAGGGAAGCTGATTTCTTGGGAGGCAGTAGTGTACAGATGACAAAGGTAAAGGCTGATAAAAAAGGGAACATGATCTGATGAAGGGTGGAAGTGGAAAGAGAAGGAATGAGTGTTAGGCAGCTGTGAGAATACTGGGAATTCTTTCCCTGCAAAGGTCCTTGTGCCTAAGGAAGGTGCTATGATGATGGACCACCTTTCAAGGGGAAAAGAAGAGACCTGATTCTCCACAGCACACTGACCCATCTGAGACCCAACTCCTGGTGCTCGACGGACTTCCATGGAAGGGCAAAACACAGCTAGAAGGCAGTGAGGTGGCTGGGAAAATTATTTTCTCCTTGCTTGGTCCTTTGTCCTATTCAAAAAGCATCTGTATCATTTTGTTCCCCAGGCCAATCACAGCTGATTGGAGCTTCTGATGGCTTTCCTGACCTTTTGGAAACAATCATTAAAAGCCAGCTGTTGGGGAGAGCCGTGCAGCACTGGTGGCCTAGTATTATTTCCTGTCTGTTCCAGCAGATGATGGGATTGCCTGGTTACCGATGGCAGGTTGATTTTCAGAGGGTGGGTAACCCATGGCACATGCAGGGCTGTCAAATGGGCTCCAAGAGTCTGGGCAGGAGACACATCTGCCCTGAGGCAGAGCTACCCAGGCTGCTGAGAGGCTTTCCCTTGATCTGAGCCCCAGAGCAAGTCAGCTCAGCTGACTCCACCATGCCCACTTACCATTCACTACAAAGCAAACAGGAACAAGGCTGCAAAGCATCCAAATGAACCCCATGCCTGTAGTGCCAGGTCTGACCCTGAATCACTGCTCCAAATACATCCATTCCCACCACACCAGTGAGGTGAACACACCTGCCAGGTGCCCTTACTACCAGGGAAGGGCCTCCTTCACTGCTCACCCCCTCTGCCTCAGCTGTGGGAGCCTCACCCAGCCAGAGATGAGACTCTAAGCCACTTTCCAGAGCTGGGTTTGCTAAGCATGTATTTAAACACAGAGGTAGCGCCATAATTCACTATCAATAAACCAAGTCAACACTGTTAATGCACGCTCCTTCCCACCCACTCTACATAAACATCAATCACCTATCCTAAAAAGGTTTTATTAGACAATACAGAATGAACAGAGACATGTAGCAAATTTTCTGTTTTTGTCATTTAACACCCAGATTAGACTGAAAAGTAAATAATGCTTGAACTTCTTAAAAAAGTAAAGGAAATCACACTTCCCTTCCCCAGGAGGAACTGACAGAAATCTACTCACACAACCAAATTATGCTGCTACTAACATACTTTACAAACGTTATTCAGCTAAACCTGTCTTGATCTGGAAATAAAAGATTTTTGCTCTTTTCATTCACAACAAATCCCAGAGAGAC